ATATGAGGGATATTTTAACTTTTATATCTCAAATGGATTCACCTATTTCAAGCATTTGGGTGACGGATTCATATATGAAGTTACACATAGGACCTGAGAAGATTAATTCTGATTGACTGACAAGTTTTGTGTGCGTAATTCATTCTACCACCAAACGGGACCTAATAACAATAAATAATTAATTAATTAATATAGATACTTCACGGAATATTACAAAATACGAAGCTTTGTCTTCTGTAAGGTCGCCTAGTTTTATTAGCATACTGAAAAAATAAACATTACGATAGTGAAAAACTGATTTCAGTTGTAAATAGAACTCTTTAAAACTTGTGTGTGCCATCTGCTTTAACAGTCATTAAGCTGCGTTTTGCGTTTATGGGTTTCTTTTGATTCTCAGTGTAAACAGAAATGATTTCGTTCAACAGCATTAACCAGTTGAAATTTATAATGATAAAGTGTTGTGTTTTCTTTAAGGTACGGACTACATTTATAAATATTATTTAGACGAGCTTTAAAAGTTTAAAGACCGACAGGGCGGGTCTTAATTATAAAGATTGTGAGGATGTGAACTGGTTCAGAATTATGTCCGAAACAGGTAGTGATTTTTGAGACGTAACTTCGGATCCTGTCAATAGAGTGATATACAATTTGAAGTACGTTTTGCCAACTTGTGGCATTTATATAAGGCTATGCGTTAAGAATTGTTTGAAGTCTTGCGCCTGCCTTCTTTAAAGTGATTTATCATTTGTGCAATAGGAGTTTTAAGATGGACCCCAATGGAATTTGGCCAAGAGTCTTCGATAACACTGCCAGAGCGCCCTTTGGTCTGACGGGAAAGCTATTCTTGGCCCGAAAGATGAGAAAACAAATTGGACTACCTTGTTCCAGATCGTTACGACCTCTCCTGTTCAACAAGGATGTCTCAACAGAGAGATCTTGAATCAATGCTTTCTTTCTTTGCCTCGTTGATTTGAGACAAAATGTCGCTAGTTATGACAGGATTATGAAGCGCTCATGACCATTTGCAGTCGCTGCTAACCATGACAACGCCCCCATGACGCTGGTGAAGTGCTGCAGTTGGTAGCAGTGATGATTCATAACCATTATGGCTACTGGCCATATTCATTAAAGAGCTGCAAGGGGGAATTTCTTGCTGCTCGAAACAGACTCCTCAGGGGCTCCATTACGCGAGATATAATGATGGTACGGTACCATAATGCGAAATTTTAACAGCTCACACAGAGAAAATTCTCTTCTCATTAGAAAATACCGGGGACTCGGTCATTAACATAAATGAGAATGAACTGTTGTAATATTATGAAAGGAAATTCAGCGAAGAAAAAGAGACAGAAACAACAAGGAAATCACAGACTTCCCTCCTGTGTTAATGAGGATTTAAAAATCTCTCGTTCTCACTGCTAAAATCCCTTGACAATTTTCAATGGTTCTGTTAAATTGTGCATACAGTTATATAAGCTTTGAGCAAACTAAATAAAAATATTTTATTACTCACTTTCCACATATCCATCAACAGCATCCTGACTACAGTTTCATTGAATAAATATCTGTTGATAATATAAAAAATCAACTTGCAACCCAGAATCTTTAAGCATTTAAATGGGCATTTAATTATGAAATAAAAGCTAGAAGTGAATATCAGCTGTGGCGGATTCTCTGTAGGTGTTGAATGTCATTAGCAAAACGCTCCTCTGACCATTTGTAGCTGAAAACCAGGCTGGCCTACTCGTCATGAGAATCACACTTTATAAAGAACTGCAAAGTTTGGCAGAATAACTACTCGTTAAACTGCATGCGGCCCCTTCAAACATAATTAAATATGTCTGTTAACACTAACAATAAGAAACCTACTGAACGGAACAGACACGCGCACGTGCGTCTCTATTCGAGTGGATAAATCTTTTGTTTAAATCTAACCAAGGGCAGTATCCTAGCTTGAGTCCAGTCCGCGCAGCTCCACAGAAGCATATATATTTTTAATTCTTCATAATCTGTCTTATACAACAATAAGCCCTAATTTATCTTGAAAATAAACTACGTTTAACATTTCTCTTCTAGAAATCTACACATAATGCAAAAACGGTTCAACATATTTCGTCTATACCTCCACGTATTTAATAGTTGGTACTTTATCACTAACATGAGCTGGGATAGCTCAGTCAGTATAGTGACTAGCTACGGGCTGGACGACCGGGGTTCGTTCCCCGACGGGGGCAGAGGATTTTTACTCTAGTCTCTGAGTCCAGACCAGACGGGGGTAAAGCCGGCCGGGGCGTGATGCTGACCACTTCACCCCCATCTAGTGCCGAGGTCAAGAATGAGTAGGAGCTTTACCTCCACTCACCCCAAGCGACTTTACGGCACATAGCGGGACAAACTTTACTTTACTTTATCACTAACATATTATGAGTAATATTTTAAATTACACTTTGTTCAATAAATCATGGCCATTGTTACATTTTCTGACTTATTTAATGCATTTAAGCATTTAAAAAACATAAATATTTAAACATTAATAAACCAAAAAATAATCTACTTTTGCTTTTAAGAACCGGTTGAGGAGGCAGTAGCAGGTCACAAGGGACCAAACTCTGAAACCACAGACAACCGCCCTCAGAGGTCGGTGACCTATCGGCTGAACGCGTGGAGGAACGAATAGTGGAGCGACACGCTGGAATCCTTGGACAGCGATGACCAGTCGCTATAGAAGATGACAAAGAGGGTGATGCGAGTTCCCATTCTATAGCCCCTCTTGCAAGTGCCGCATTACTAGCTCTTTTCGACGCCAAGAAATCGGAAGCCCTGGCCGACAGCCTTGAGGCACAATTTCAGCTGGTACACGACCCATCGTACCCGGCAGTTACCGACATTGCCCTGATAATGAAGTTACTGACATGGTTAACGAGGCGATGCGCGCATACGAGTATGCCCTCGCAAGTGAACCGAAATTAACCAGTAACTCGGAGGTCCTTCAGGTCATCAAGGGACTCGACTTTGACAAGGCTCCTGGTCCGAGCGTTATTCCGAACAGGGTCTTGAGACATCTACCTAGGCGTGCGATAACCTTTCTCAGGAATGTGTTTAAAGCAGTCCTCCCGCCAACATGGAAACACGCCCGAGTGGTATCCAAACTAAAGCCGGGGAAGGACCCCATGTTGCCCTCTTCCTACAGACCCATCAGTCCTCTTGACAATGTTGACAAGCTCTTCGAGAAGATCCAACTCTACTCTAGATGTGTTCAACTACAGCTTTCCACCGGTAACCACATCTACATAGTCCACTCCACGAAAATGAGTAAGCTGCTTAAGACGGTCCATTACGTATTGAAGCCAACAATAGAGTATACGTATACAAATTAGAAGTATTATCTATTAGTTTCGAACACCTAAAGATAACCGGCTGAAGATGAACAGTTAAGGTCGAAACATGTATTGGATTCTTAATAAACACTGGAACTATAATCAAAATTTGTTGTGTAGGACTGTCAGCCAAACGTCCAACACACAACAGGGTGTACTCTTAAAACTCCATATTCACTTTCAGTGGCTTCATCTCATGACAATCCTTATATTAGTGGTGGTTTAATGATCATGGCCATGTCAAATGTCACATAAAACGATGGCAGCTTTCAATGAATTAAACTACTTTACCCGTTTTGCGCTCAAAATACCCGCTGATATCACTGCCAACCAAAGACTTTGTTGATCCTCAAGATGCATCGAGAAGACCCATGGTGCGTTATTGAATACTCGACTGACAGTTACCGTTAATTTACAAAATCAGGTTGCAATTAACTACTACGAAGTTGGATACCTGTGGCTCCCTATGGGATGTACTGTCAACATTTTGTTCACAACGTCGATCAAATTGTATGGCCGAAATGTGACTCACACTCTCCTCATTATCTTTATCCACAGCCTTCTACTTGATGAAAAACGGGAATAAAACATCCGTTAAGAAACGTTATCACCAACAAAACTTTTTAAAGAAAGAGAGAAGAAATTTTCAGTCATATTTATTCATTTAAAATAGAACTCGCTCTTCAGTACAGTCGCAACCATAATTACATATAACTAACAAAACCATAAATGACACTGCACAAAAAGGGGAGACAGAATTGAAGTGTTTATTCAAGAAACATAACATATAAAAACATTTAGATTTTTAGGTTATGATAAAACTATTTATGCTCTGATTGAAAGAGATCTTGCAAAAGCAGCTTTTATCACAGTTAAGACAGAAGAGAATATTTGGATCATTTCACAGGAACAGCACGTCAATGACAAATGCGTTTTTCTAGAAAGTATATTGTTCAGGCACTGGTTTGCATAATGGAGGAAGACAGAACACGTGCCTTAAAGAAGCAGAAAAATACTAAACAGGAGGATGTTAATTGAGATGCGTTTTATTTCCTGAAATGGATATTGCAAGCAAAATCAAAACCAGGAGAAGCAATTGTAATCTCATTTGATGTCATGGAAAATTTTCCAATACCCCACATCAAGAACAAGACAGTTTTCTTTGGTAACCAATCTTGCAATTGATGATGCAACAGTATGTTTGTAATGAGAGATTTGCTAGAAAAAGACTAAACGAAGTAACATGTTATCAGTTACCTTTTCTCAAAAATGCTAAACAGATTCACAAATTTCATACTTACGAGTGATGACTGCCAAGGACAAAATAAGAATTACAATGATTCATTCTTTCACACTGTAATCTTTTTACAACATTTTCCCCATCAGAGGTCTTTCATATCTTCCAAATATTCAAGACTTATCTACAATTACAAAGCAAAAAGCGTTTGTAACTAAAGATATTCAAGAAGAATGGGATGCTGAAACAGAGCACTTGTGAAAAATCATCACTCTTCAACGTAATAAGAGTAAATCTGATAGTTTTTGACGTGAAAGGGGTATACAGCCATAATTTCTTAAGTTTTCTTGGCAGCTAAAATCTTTGAGAGTGTGAGTTCAACTCACCAGTTTTTGGAGGTAGGAGATTCCTGTTCTGGTCCACAGAGGCAGTCAGCTGTGAGAACCAAATCTCATCTTCCTTCAGAGACACAGCCAAAACAGCTTCACATAACTCCTCTGCCATTCAACGCAGACAAATTGAAATATATGAGGAAACGATATAATGTTATCACAAAAAAATTACATTTTATGATCCAATCTTTTATAAATTGGAAAGGGTCCCAATTCAGAAAAATTAAGAGAAGATAACAGTAATGACTATGCAGATGCTTAATTTGTGACGCACTATCTCTCCATAGGTCTTGTATTTTTTGCTTTGTTCCTGTCTTTTACCATAAAGTCTGATTCCTTTAAGTATTCATATTATTATTAACTGTTGTATTGTTTAATGTTGTTCACTATTGTTTTGAACAATGAAACACTTAATTTTCATGCCATATGTCAATAGCAAATCTTCTTGAAAAAACAACACTTGCAAAAAAGGAAATAATTTTTAACTACCAGAAAAGTGATCTGAAAAAATCCTTTTCATATTGCAAATAAGGCAGTTACTTAACAGTAATTGTGAAAAAATAAACGTAAATGTGCGTACAAAATGAGACAAGCATTTTTTACGCTCCTGAAAGATTGCTCTTTGTGACAAAGCCTCAATAGAAGTCAAACACTTCTGAGTAATTAAAATACGAAATGTGTAACGTTTAACAAATTTGTTCTCTCAACAAACATTATAAAAAACATATTGCAACAAATGTTAATAAAAAATGAAAGATAAAAATATTATAGCAGAGCGTGGTTTCGATCCACGGACCTCTGGGTTATGGGCCCAGCACGCTTCCACTGCGCCACTCTGCTGATGTTTCATGACCTTCACAAAAGCAGTTCATACAGTCACGTAAGCTTTATATCCCTGTGATGTAATATTTTCACGTTGAAATTTAAAGGATAAATCGACTGTTTTTTAATTTTTCTTTTCGAAGAACAAATTAAAAATGTTGTTCAATGTTTGATGCACTACATATATAGGTTATTAATGTAATATCATTTACTTTTATGATTAAAAGTTAGTCAAAGCATACATTTAAATTTAAAATGCAGCAGCTTTTACACGCGTTTTTGAACCGAAACTCTGCTTGTGGAGAAATGTACATTTATGTGGTGAATTATTTTTCCAAGTAAATATAAAAAAATGTTTCCGCCCGGGATCGAACCGGGGACCTTGCGCGTGTGAGGCGCACGTGATAACCACTACACTACGGAAACATATTGCTGTGACTTTCTAATGCACGTATATAAATATAATACAGATTTTTTTCAAAATAATTTAAAGTATGTAGTATATATACATGCATACTTCCTAGATTTACAGGTTCGATTAAGAAAAATACAATGTCTACATTTACCCATTGCAGTATTTGACGTGTTTAGTTACTCATAAAATATTGTAACCTACACAATCTGAATCTGGAATTTAAGTTTATAATCCCTAACTCTAACATTACTAATGTAACTGGTCACCATATTCCACAGATATTATTGTATTACGATCATAATGACTGAAATGATATATGTTGTGTATTTCACTATTACCTTTTCTCTATCTATTGAACAAATGAAATTAACTTCATTTCAGTGGCTATTCAAGAAGGGGCAAAACTTTAGTAAAATGAGGTTAACTGATTTTCATTCATAAAAGTAAACAAAAGGGAACAGTGACTTACAGAACATAAACCCTGTCATTAAGTTCATATTCTAATAATTTTTACCTTTACAACTGGTGACCAGTTACATTAGTAAGAACAGATTTTGGAATTCAAAACTTAAAACCAAGATTCTGATTAAACATCTCTATTACTGTATATTTCAATGTTTGCTATCAGCAGTGGAGTAAAAGTACAGACACCAGATGTACATAATATAGCAGTCTACATGTAGGTATATTTTTATTACTATCTGTTGTTATAAATGGTGTATCTTCTGTATATTACAAAAGTGAACACCAACTTTAATTCATAAAGAATACATGTACTTACCTCAGTATTAGATGCATACAAGACTAGAACAATGGCACTGATATGAACTCATTCTATTATTAACAAAGTATCTGCTAAGTTTTCATTGCTCATCTTACAATCATACTGAAGCTATAAAAGAAGTCCCATTGGTGGTAGAAATGATTGTACTATAAGCTTCCCTCCCCTCTACCTACTGCTGTATTTCTTTCATACTCCCTTCAGTCAATGTCAACCATACAAACGTTTTTGTACCACAAGATTTCATTATTTCCAACATTTGTATAAATATAAGGGACAGACAATTAAAATGTTCACATGAACATCATGTTGGTATTCCAATTGATAAGGCATAACTTAATATCTAATCACTGATTTTAAAATCAAGGTTAAGAACTCATGAAGCCTGCTTTTCTCTATCAAATTTCCAGTCTTACAATCTCGCAATGTTAATGTCATATTTAGGTACAATAATTTAAATTTATAATGTGTATATAAAATGTAAGTTGGGTTATGTGGTAGTAGTTGGATTCATACATCGATAGGTATAGGACTGAACCTTATCTGGGTTAGAATTTGCCTGCAACAGTAAATGTCAGAGAGTACTCCTTCTCCTACTACACTACAACTACAAATGTTACTTACTACCAAGCCTCCTGCCCAATGGCTACTGGGGTCCTTTCCTGGGAGTAAAGCATTTCCAGAGCATGAAATTTAATGTATGACATCAGATTTACCTTCAAAGGAACAATGTTCATACCAAATTTAAAGAAGACTTTCAATTGGTTCAAAAGTTGAGTATGATGATGTGATTAGCCTACATTTTTCCTTTCCAAAACCAAAGTACGCTAGAAAAGAGCATGATTTAAAATAAAGGTAAGAATATACCTAGAAGAACTTCACTCACTGCAAAGGAAGTAGTTAAATAATGGAAAGAAACTAGATAACCATTCAAACGATGAAGATTTCTGTCTTCTGGGTTGTTGCGCTGTGTAGACTGGTCAATGTTAACCAATGCCCTGATGACGGAGGCAGTATGACCCTTGAAACGTTGGTTAACATCGACCAGTCTAAACAGCGCAACAACCCAGAAGACAGAAATCTTCATACTCACCGCTGAGAAAATCTCAAATCTTACATTCCAATGATGTATGACGCACACACTTACATAAAATACTTGAAATTAAAATTTATTCTCTGACACATTTATCACTAATAAGAGTCAACCATCTATACATGTGAAAGATATAAAACCATATTATACTCAATGTAATATGGTGTACAAGCCTGGAGGAAATGGCCATGCTCAAACGCAACAATGTTAAAAAATCTCTAGAGGCATTTCGAAATTATTTTAACAGAACAATCAGAAAATCAATTATTAAGAAAACTTTGTATATATAAGTGGTTACATTTGAATATCTTAAGTATATTTTATATTAAAAATTATAGCCCAACGTTACTTTAATGACATGTAACAGACAAGTTCTTGCTGAACCTCTGAAGAAACTAACTAGATGGCTTACCAAACCCGAAGGTTCATCACCGAATTAACCAAAGCCCTCCACCGGACCCTGTCCTGGGCCAACAAAACCCAGTCTCCTTCAACTCCTATCTCCCATAGATCCTGCCTGACATTGTCCTCCCATCTACATCTAGGTCTCCCCAGCGGTCTCTTCCCCTCAGGATTGCCGACTAACACCCGGTGCACACCTCTCGCCCCATCCATGTACACCACATGCACCACCCATCTCATTCTTGTTCACTTAATCACCCTGACAATATTTGGAGAGGAGTATAAAGGGTTTTAAATCTAGATATTCACGAAGCTCCATCAAAAGTCAAGAAATTGTAACTTCCAAAGGTTCCATCACAGAAATATGAGTGTAAAGGTTCTATTGATGGCAAGGGTTCCATACCAAATCAGAGAAGTGTGAGGGACTCTATTGGCAGTAAAGGTTCAACAAAACGTTATGAGTCTTCTGAAACAAAGCAGTTTCTATGGGAGTGGATGACATGAAAAAAATTGAGTGTTTCTTTTGGTGAACTTGAACCACAAACCAGTTTCAATGAATTACAGACAGAATCTTCTGAAAGCCATAAGTTTGAAGGAAGCTGTATGTGATATCCTTGAATCACTGACACCTCAAGACAGAGCTTATGAAAGTATTCCTGAAACAACTCCACCACCAATAATTCCTTTCACATCTCATAATAAATACCGAAAAACGCATTTTGGAGCACCTTTAACTCACGAACTTGCATAAATAGTTATTACATAACCTGTACTACCAATTCACTATTTAGGCCACTGCCCTTACAAGTGGCAATATAATCAATAACATGAACAACAAAAAGATTAAGCCAATGCACTGACTAATGGCACATAAAATAATTCAAGAAAAAACTTAAGTTAGTTTCCCCATTGATTTACTCTTTGCACTAGTGGATTCTTCCTTAACTTTAGTTGTCCCTGTTACACAAAATATGAAAATGCTCACATTATACATACATCACATAATAAATACACATCACAATCAAAATAAAGATGACTAAAAAAACAAATACACTGCATCAAACACATTATTATAAAATACAAATGTCCTTTTAGGTTTTCAAATAATGACAAATGACTGGGATACATCCTTTGATCTCTTCTGTGGGCAGTATGTTCCATAATGATGATCTATCAACTGAAAAGTTATCAAGCACTGAAAAAGAATAAAATCCCTCAAAGTAAAAGACCATGTTCCACAACCATACAAAATCATAAGTAAACTACAAAACACCAGTCTATATAAAATCACCATCTGTCTTGAACCATAACAACCACTCACTGACTCTTGCACATTGCATCAAAGTACATATACAAAATCACAAAAGGATAAAATATAAGGCTAAAACAAGGCCTTGTGGATTTTTAAACCAGAAAAACAGACTACTCAACTTGATTCTGAAATTTCAGTATTAAAATTAACGGTTTTTATAGGACAAGAAACGAGATGAATCTGAGAGCAAAACAAATGGAGATGCTTAATCAGTTGTTGAACTCACCATGGAGTGGGAATTTCATACAGTGGATGCTCAGGCTGTTACTGAACAGAATATTTTTCAAGATCTTCACT